TTATTTATAGGAAGAAACCTACGTTTTTTCGAACATATTGTGTATGGATGATTACGCACTCCAACGGCCGACCTTGAGTTGAGGAGTTGCGAGAATTGCCGTGTGTGGCGCTCCTATAGCTTCCCATTCGCACGTTCCTTCGTGGCCCCAGCTGTGATGACACGCAGTGTTACGAATGCCACGTGTATCGCTGTTCTGTGTCGTTTTAATACCAGTGGATATCCATCAGTCGCTGTCGAAACCACAAAACAAGAGAAAAGTGGACTTGGAATGTCGTGCTTTTAAGGCAGAGTGGAGTGAGAATTATTTTGTTACTGAATTAGATGGCAAAGCATTGTGTTTATTGTGCAGTGATACTATAGCTGTACTAAAAGAGTACAATATACGTCGGCATTACCAGACTAAGCATTCGGCACAGTATTCCCAACTCACAGGGAAGGAACGATCACAAAAATTAGAAACTTTGAAACGGAGTATTTCATTACAACGCAGTTTCTTCACGAAAATGAAAAATGAAAATAAGGCTGCAAGTAAAGTAAGTCTACGAGTAGCTCATTTGTTAGCCAAGGAAGGAAAACCCTTTACTGATGGTGAGTTAATTAAATCATGTTTGATTGTAGCAGTTGAAGAAATGTGTCCAGAGAAAATGAATTTATTTAATAATATCAGCCTTTCCGCTAGAACAGTTGCCCGAAGAGTTGAGGACATTGGTAGCAACATCACTAACCAATTAATTAACAAGGCAAATGATTTCGAGTGGTTTTCCTTAGCTCTTGATGAGTCGACAGACATTACAGATACTGCTCAATTGCTGCTGTTTATTCGAGGAGTCAATGCTGACTTTGAAGTGACTGAAGAATTAGCTTCTATGAATAGTCTGCGTGGAACAACTACAGGCGAAGACATTTTCAAGGAAGTTGAGGAAATATTAACCAAGTACAATCTGAAGTCGAATCAGCTAAAATGTGTGACAACTGATGGTGGTAAAAATATGTCTGGAACAGGTAAAGGCTTAGTTGGAAGCATTTACACAGCTTGTGAAAATGCAAGGTGTACAAGGCCTATGGTTATTCATTGTATCATTCACCAGCATGTACTTTGTGGCAAATATCTTAATCTGTCGTGTGTTTTAGAACCAGTCGTGTCAACGGTGAACTTCATTCGTTCTCGTGGGCTGAACCATCGTCAGTTCCGTGATTTTCCGTCAAAAGTGGAAGCCGAATATCCTGACTTACCCTACCACACAGCAGTTCGATGGCTCAGCAGTGGTAAAGTTTTATTAAGATTTTTTGAACTCAGAGCAGAGATTGAAATTTTTCTCAATGAGAAAAAACACCCTCAACCACTATTATCGAACACTGAATGGCTTTGGAAATTAGCTTCTGCTGCTGATATCATGGGATTTCTTAATGGATTGAACTTGAAGCTACAAGGCAAAACAGTGCTAATATGTGAAACTTATACTGCGGTAAAATCATTTCGACGACAACTGGCTTTGATTGAGTCACAAATCATGTCAAGCTGTGTCGTGCATTTCCTATGCTGCCAAACATTAAAAGAAGAAGTGGATTCCCCATTCCCGCACGAATTTGCAGGTGATATATTTTCTGAGCTCAAAAAACAGTTCCAGCAACGTTTTTCGGATATTGATGCAAGTGCGGTAGATATTTCCAGATTTGAAAATCCATTTAACTGTACAATTGAGGAACTTTCACCTAACCTTCAATTGGAAGTGATTAATCTGCAGTGTGATAATATGCTAAAAGGCAAATTCCAAGAGAACACTCTAACAGAATTCTATAAGTGTCTTCCAAGTGATGAATATGGTGAATTAAGATCATATGCTCGAGGTTTGATCTCTGTATTTGGTAGTACTTACCTGTGTGAAGAGACATTTTCAAAGATGAAATATGTAAAATCTCAATACAGGTCAGCATTAACAGACGAACATTTGCAATCAATTATGATGATAGGGAGTACTAACTTTGACCCCCAATTTGAAGAAATGTTATCTAAAAAAAAAAATTCATTCATCCCATTAGTAGCCTAAAGCTGTGTTTCAATCAATGATTGTAGTTCCTTTTGTATTTTTATTATGTTACATTTTCACAAGTAAATTTGTGAAAACTTCAGTTTTATCCTGTTATTTTAACTGTACCGACCTTTAAAGATCCTCGAGTTTACCTCTTGGCCCTCAGAGTGTAATGTATTTTATATTTGGCCCTTTACGAAAAATCTTTGCCGACCCCAGATTTAGACAATCGGCTCATAGATGGTGTTAAGATTGTCAGTCCTACGCGCCTGCGCCCTTTACCCCCAAGAATATTTCTGGTACCCATTTATGTTAGAGTCTGAGTCGACCCCAGGGCCATAGTGCGGCTGGAAGGATGAGGTCAATTGAAAACAATTCAATGACCTCTTCGGAATTCCATCCCGTGATCTTCTGGCTTGTAGCATAGTGCTTCAACCAACTACGCTGTCGTGACCCAAGATGTTGGCTGGTCGACTGAATTACGTTGGCCGAGCGGTAGCGTAATAATTCAGTGATGATGATTGTCAGTTGGCTGCCTGAGCGTGTATTCCAACCACAAAGAGCAAATACTCGCTACAGATTATAGAGGATTTATTGAGACTGTGTGTATATTACATACAAGCGCTGGCGGACGTAAGCCTGGCCAGCCTTCTATTAGCTCCAACCCAGACAAAATGCTCCCTTCAACTTCTCTCTTGTTCTTAAAACCTAATCTAAACTAAGCTTGCAGCCCAATGTCTCGAGACATGAACCCTCACGCAGATCAAGTTACACCAGCGGTTGTTGAAGGATAGGTCCCAGACGAAACACTCCAGGACTCCACTAATTTATGAAAATGGCAGGGGTAGATATAACATTTTTTGTGGAAGCAGGTCAACCTCTTGACGTGCTATAAATTTTAGTAGAGGGCATGACCCCAGACATCAGACTCAAATTTCCTAAAACAACAAGGTGTTGCGAACCTTTGCAACACCTCCCCCCTTAAGATGGAAACATTTGCAAAAACAGGTGCTAATGTTTCCCAACACAAGTATAGGCTATATATACTACAGATTACAGAAACATAAATCTACCATCTACGTTTATAAGTCTTACGCACCCCTGAGTGGGTGCTTACCATTGGTACTGGATCCAATTCTGTCATCTCAAGGCTTGTTGCAGCTGGGAGCGATCGCAGGCTCTGACTGCGAGTCTCCTGGTCAAGAAATCTGTCTGTTATATTTTCATCTGATGATTTGAGTTCTCTTTGATTTATGACCGTTTGGCGTATACAGATTCTGCCACAACAGTCATCGTCCAAGAGCCTTTTCAACAAGTTACACATTTTACAGAAACAACAGATTAATAACATCATGACTACCATAGTTGTTATTCCCAGGTAGGAAAGGAATTTCAAATGATCAATTTTATGGTCTCTGTTCAGTTCAGCTTCATTTTGAATTATTAATTGTTCTACCTGGTCAACAGAGTGACTAGCGTATTTAAACGCATTTGAATGACCTAAAATATTTTTCAATGGTACGTCAGGTATGAATTTCATTGTATCGAGCTTTACTCTGGATCCTAAATGCTCACAGCAATCATAATGCAGTGTTACACTGGGAATAAAATCCTTATCGGTTCTGTTACTCGTGAAACTCATTTGGGTCTGTAATTTTGTGTTTAGCCCTAAGGCATCGCATCTGCCAAACATTGACAATACACCTGTACCTTGTAGAATTATGTCACTGGGTTCTAAATCGTTACACAAAATTGTCACCCTTTCCTTGTGTGACGTGGCAAATATCCACTTATTATGAGTAAGGGGTAACCAGGTTACATCATCAAGAGAAATGATTTTCCTTTTGCAGTCTAACGGAATTCTTGTAGTGGGCTCTAACAACCTGACCTCGCATTCCTGGTGAACATGTGTGGATTTTACAGGGAATGTCTGTTTACATACACGCCAGTCTGGCGAAATAACCTTACACTCATCTAATTCTAATTCATTCAGTTTAACATACACTTGTTTCAATGTATCTATCATGAGAAAGTCCTTTTCACTTTCAATGAAAACGAAGATATTTTCACTGTTATTAACTTTCGTGGGAAATGGAATCAGTTTGTACAAATGGTACACAGCACTGTTCACTAAGGGTATCTTCAGGACGTAACCCAAAAGATTGTTATTTAGAAACACATCAATATCAATTATGTTCATCAATACATGTTCGTAAGCCACTCTTGCAGTGTTAGGAAGGGAAAGGTCACGTGGAAGGATCGAATGGGAATCCTGAAAGGCTCTTATAATATCTCCAGGGGTGATTATTTGAGGTGATAATATTCCTTTCTGTGCAAAAATAATTGCAAATAACAACGTGTCATACCCTTCCTTCAGCTGACCAATTAAATGTTCAATGATTATCATGTGTTGATTAGTTGCAATCAAAAGAGTGGTTTGCGAAAACGCTTGGTTTGTCTTCTCCACGTTTTCATTTACTTGTTTCTGCATTGTTCTAGAGTTCTCGTTAATTTGCAGTTCATTGGCTGCAATATCGACTAATGTGTAATTTACCGTCTGCAATGTGGAACGCACAACAGTCATTTGTTCCTTGGCTACCTTTAGCATTGAAAGTTGCTCGGACTCTAATTCGCTTATTTTGTTTTGGTAATAATCAGCGTCTTCACTTGACAAAGTACCAAATAAAATTTTGGAAACTGTTCCAATAAAATTAAAAACACCTCTTTTAATTCTTTTAGCATGTGTATGCGTATTATCGGAATGAAATACCTCCTCCTCTTTATTCTTAGTAATTTCGGAAATTATGCGCCGCGTTCTATGAATTTTCAGTACGCTCTGATTCATCAGGGACAGGTCCGACTGACAGGTAGAAATGGCTTCAGGTGGCAACTCTTTACACATTGCTCCAGTCTGAGCGACAAAATCTACAAGCGTATTGTAAGTCGTCTCCAATTTCGATATGTTTACATACGTTACAAGCTTCCATTCTGAAGTGTATAGTTGCACCTGACCTATGTGATCATAGTACAGTCCGGGCGTGTCCTCATAGTTCTTGACTGTGAAGTCTACTGCGACGACGGCGACGCACGTCGCGCTCAAAATCAACAGCGTCTCGAGTCGCATGTCAAGCTGAAATTAAATGAAAAGCTTCAGTCTGTTGCTGTGCACTTTGAAGGTTCGTCTTTTTGTACCTGAACGTAATACGCAATTTACACCTGTGACTTCGACCACGGTGTACGGTCCTATCCACGGGGAAGAAAGTTTCTTAGAGCGACCTCGTCTGACATGTTGCTGTAGCAGAAGTACAAGATCACCTTCGCGGAACGTAACCGTATTTTCCTTCTGGTCATAATATCTTTTAGACACTTCCTTCGAGTTTAGTAGCGCCTTCCGCGCTACCTCATGGCTGTACTGTAGCCTCTCCTTTAAGCTGCTCACGAAGTCTTCTCTCTCGTCGTAGCTAGAGCAACTGGGACGGCGTTGTAGCAGTCCTGGCATCGAAGGCTTTCCTCCGAAAACCAACTCGAATGGACAGTATTTAGTGCTCGTATGGGGAGTCGTATTATAAACGAATGCTGCCGTTGGCAACAGTGTATCCCAATCATTCTGCTCGTGGCATATAAAATGACGCAGATATTCTGTAATTACTGCGTGCGATCTTTCGACACTGCCATTGCTCTGAGGCCTAAATGGAGTTGTATTAACTCTCGAAATTCTTAAAAGTTTGCATAAGTGCCGCATTACTTCTCCGGTGAAATTCGAGGCGCAGTCTGTGAGAATCGAACCCGGCGATCCGAACACAGTGATTACATTGTCGACTAGCGCTCTCGCTATCGTTACGGCTTCTTGATTTGGAAGCGCAATGGCTACCAGGTACTTGGATAGCTGGTCCTGGCATGTGAGAATGTACTTGTTCCCTTGTTCCGTTAAAGGCAGGGGACCCATGCAGTCCAAGCTAATCTTTTCAAAAGGGGCATACGGAGTGTCAGTAACCTCCATTGCCATCTTCGTGTAGGGAACTGTGTGCTTATTCCTCTGGCACGATGCACATTTCCTTACATAATTTTCTATGTCCCTTCGCATATTTGGCCAACTTACGTAGGGTTTCAGCCGTTCATATGTTCTTGAGATTCCCGTGTGCCCACCTATAAGAGATTCATGGTATTCTCTTATAATACTTTCTTTCTCGGAATCCGAGGGTTCGCTAAAGTTCCCAGAATATTCGGAACCGACTGTCTCATTTTTTTCGTTTGTAGCGGACCCTGCCAACTTTTGACCCCTCGATTCTGCTTCCTTGTCACCGCCCTCACTAGCATCTGCTTTGTGTATGCGAGACAAGAAATCGGCATGCGATATTGTTTTACCTGACCGGTAATGTATCGTGAAGTCATACTCTTCAAGTTTAATTCGCCATCTTAATAAACGTGAACTAGGATCCTTAACATGGAACACCCATTTAAGTGGCTTGTGGTCAGTTACAATGTTGAAATGTCTACCTAATACATATGGGCGAAACTGTTTTACAGCCCAAATAATGGCGGCCATTTCTCGGTCTGTTGTGCTATAATTTCTTTCGGACTTATTAAACGTCCTGCTAGCATATGCTATCGGGAGGTCTTTGCCTATTTCTCCCTGGCTCAGTACACAACCGGCGGCGTCGCCTGAAGCATCGGCGGTAATAATAAACGGTCGCGAAAAATCCGGGTATTGTAAGATAGGAGCCGTAACCAACAGCTCTTTCAGAGTCTGGAAGGCGTTCTGCTGTGGTTCCTTCCAGTCGTATACCGCGTCCTTCTTCAATAACTCATACAGAGGTTTTGCCACCCTACTGTAGTTGTGAATGAAACGTCTGTAATACGAGGAGAGCCCTAAAAATCCCTTCAGTTCTTTAACTGTCTTGGGTTCGGGGAAGTTTCGCACTGCCTCCGTCTTTCTAGGATCCGGCCTTAGCCCCTCGTCAGTGGCGACGTGACCAAGGAATTGAACCTCGGCCCTCAAGAACTCACACTTGAATGGCTCAATCTTCAATTTGCTTTCGCGGAATCTCTGAAATAGTTCCCTCAATCTCTCATTGTGAGATTCCAGCGAATCTGCTGTAATAATAACATCATCCATATAGCAAAAACACCTTAATCCGTTCATTCCGGCGAGTACGGAATTCATAAGAGATTGAAATGTAGACGGCGCGGATTTCAGGCCCATGGGGAGACGAACAAATTCAAAATGACCCGCGGGTGTACTGAAAGCAGTTTTCGCGCGGTCCTTCTCTGCTAGTTCAACCTGATAATACCCCGAGGCAAGGTCAACTGTAGAGAAATATTTTGCTTTACCCAGCTGATCCAAAATATCAGTGATGTTCGGCAGCGGGTAAGCATCTCCGACTGTCCATTCATTCAGTTTCCTGAAATCAATCACTACGCGCCATTTTACCTTTCCTGAGGCATCTGCCTTTTTCGGCACTAACAACAATGGGCTATTGAAAGCGCTTCTGGAGGGCGCTATAATTCCGTCATCCAATAACTTGTTAATCTGCCTATTTACTTCCTCCTTGTGAGCTTCCGGTAATCGGTAAGGGCGAACGTTTATCGCTCTGTTTTCATCCAAGGCTGGAGTGGGAATTGAATGTTTAATTAGGTCAGTGTGCGACAGTTTATCCCCTTCCAAGTAAAAGATATCATGGAAATCCTCGCAGATTTCCAGAATAGATTTCTTGTTACTCTCTGCCATGTGGTCTGTCCTAATTAGTTCTCTGACCCGTTTCTTGCGAGATAACACACTTTCGTTATTATCATGAATTTGGGAATTGATTTTTCGCACACTGATTTGTTCACTCCACTTCGTGGCAGTGAGCGTCAAATCCCTTATCTCCATGGCTTCCTCTGTGGAATTCAGAATGCTCACTATAGCCTTATTTCTGTTGACTTGCGACAGGGAACTGGCTACATACACACCTGGATAAATTTCTTGTTTATCCACAATTCCTAGTCCGGTATCCAAGTCAACTGTAACCGCTGCGATTGTCTCCGTTCGCGGTTTCAAAATGATAGGCTCGTCGTTTCTCCGACAAAAGTTATAACGGTGCCCGTTAATATCCACATATCCTTCCCTGTTGTTGATTACCGAATCCTTCAGGATATCTCGGCCTATTAAGCCATCTTCTGTCAACTGTATTTCCTCAGGCGCTACCTGGAATTTATACGTGCGATCATGGAGGGTTAAGTTCACGCTCCCAAGTGTGTTAATCGAACCTACTGTTATTCCGGCAATTTCATATTGCTTATCTGTATGAATGGGAACATCATCTGGTATCAACCCTCGCTTTATCACGGATATTTGTGCCCCCGTGTCGACTAACATCCTCAATGGTTGATCTATGCCAGCCACGGTAATGAGAATACTACCATCATGGTTTTCCTCAGTTTCACACCCTGTGGCGCAAACCCGTTCGCTATCGCTGTTCACGCGCATTTCACGTGAGGTCGTTTTGACCCGTAAATCCTCACCTTCGGAGTTGAAAACTCCCTTCGATGCACTGGTTTTACCACAGGCACTCTCAGTGCTGGCGGAATTACTAACATCTACAAATTTCCGTTTCTTTTCGTCTAATCTACTGACATTCTGATCGGCATAGCTGCCACTCATAGCCCCGAGGACGAGCTCCTCTTCCCGGCCTTCAGTCGACCTTCGACAAGGCGGATCACAACCAACGGCCGACCGTGGTCGTGGTTTGGCTAAATTAACATACATATCTGAACCTAAGTCAGTTAGATTATCGGCGTCTGGAAACTCACGGCAACTGTTTGTCTTGGCAAACACATTCCGTTTGTTTCCCGCTACTATCGCAAACTTCCCATCTGCGCGTTCTCTAGCTCTGCGGTTTTCATTTCCAGAAAAGTTTCCATGTCGCTTTTTCTTTTTCCAACATGTATATGCGACATGACCTGGCATATTACAAAAATTACAAACTTTCTCTGCAGGAGCTGCCACTTTCACCTCTTTCGATCTGCCAGTCAGGAAGCATTGTGATTCCCTATGACCGAAACGTCGGCAGTTATTGCAACGCACATCCTTACTTCGGTCATTGTACTGAGATACGCTATGTACCTTTTCTTTAGCAGAAAGTAATGCGCTTTCTTCCTCAGTACCTATCTCAGCGGCTTCTGTAATATGTGTAGGGTTCCTAGCACGAACTACGGTCTGTATTCGTTCATTCGCTAGCCCCTGTATGAAACATGCCTTTCCTAACTGTGATACCAACTTTGTGATACCGCACATTTCAGATGAAGACGCGCCTTCTATAGCCGCGTCTCTGAAATCTGAACCCAATTGGTCAAGCCTACTGCACCATGCAGCTACTGTTTCATGTTTGGCTTGTCGGGCATTGAACATGGCGCAAGCGTAAAAATCTAATGTTCTCCTAGTAGCATAATGCTCCTTCAAAATGGCCTTAACACTAGCCCAATCATCGGCATCTTGCCGAACAAGTAATTTTGCCTTCGCCTCGCCTGTTATACGCATGCGTACATACTTGTAAAATAAAGCATATTTATCTGGGTTAATTAGCCCAAAAGCTGCATCGACGTTTTCGCAAAACTCTTTCAATTTGCGTTTGTCGCCGCTAAACGGTTCAGCTACCAATTTGAAAGCATCACTGACACTTATATATTCGTCAGCCATTTTTTTTTTCAGATATACAGACGTGGACAGGAGGAACAGGTGAGCAAGAGTGACTTACCTTGTGCACTAGATTGCTCCCGCCTCCAATGGTTGTCTTCACGCCTCGCTTGCCTCTCAAGTGAAGCTGGACACCCCCTCTGGCAACGCAGACTCGGATGCCGACTATTGGCCAGTCTAACGGCGTCACGTCTACAACAGCTCAGTACCTCCACCGGACAGGTACCTATTTGCCCGCGTCCTGGAATGACGTCCCGTTCTTGGAATCGCCCTGGTACCGCACAGCAATGGGAAACCACCTTCGTCGGATAGACGCCTTCTTGGAAGCGTCGTAAACCGGCGTCCTCGCGTCGGAAATCGTCCTGGTGATGACTTCCTTCGGGAATGGCCCACTCTCTTAATCACGTACACCAGTTGCCAGTCCTCCACTCTGCTAATGTCGATAGCGCGCTTGGTCGCTACCGGTCATCTTGCTGGTCGTGCTCAAAGGGTTTTTCCTCTATCTGTATTGGTTAAAATCTGCAGAATTCTTTCACTTCACCGATTTGCAACTACACGCAGAATTCTTTCACTTCACAGATTTGCAACTACACGCAGAATTCTTTCATTTCACAGATTTGCGACTACACGCAGAATTATTTCATTTCACAGATTTGCAACTACACGCAGAATTGTTTCATTTCACAGATTTGCAACCCCACACGCAGAATTCTTTCATTTCACAGATTTGCAACCCCACACCTGACACCAGATTTTTCTCTCCTCTGTCGTGACCCAAGATGTTGGCTGGTCGACTGAATTACGTTGGCCGAGCGGTAGCGTAATAACTCAGTGATGATGATTGTCAGTTGGCTGCCTGAGCGTGTATTCCAACCACAAAGAGCAAATACTCACTACAGATTATAGAGGATTTATTGAGATTGTGTGTATATTACATACAAGCGCTGGCGGACGTAAGCCTGGCCAGCCTTCTCCTAGCTCCAACCCAGACAAAATGCTCCCTTCAACTTCTCTCTTGTTCTTAAAACCTAAATCTAAACTAAACTTGCAGCCCAATGTCTCGAGACATGAACCCTCACGCAGATCAAGTTACACCAGCGGTTGTTGAAGGATAGGTCCCAGACGAAACACTCCAGGACTCCACTAATTTATGAAAATGGCAGGGGTAGATATAACATTTTTTGTGGAAGCAGGTCAACCTCTTGACGTGCTATAAATTTTAGTAGAGGGCATGATCCCAGACATCAGACTCAAAGTTCCTAAAACTACAAGGGGTTGCGAACCTTTGCAACAACGCTACCGCGTGTCACCTCTAAATTGATTATTTAATAACTATTATGAATTATGTACTCATCTATCTCTGTCTTCCAAGTCACCCCCTCCATTCATAGTTCCCCAAGTATAATATTTACATACTCAGCATGATGAGATTTTCGTAGAATTGATCACCATAAAAGAGACCTGTACAATTGCCGAATAATACAAATATGTAACTCATTATAAGACATGTCCTATTTTTTTTTCATTTTCTTCTTAGTTCATTTCTGTTAGGTCGAAATATTCCATTCAGCACTTGTTCTCGCACAACCCTAATCTTAGGTTCGAGTTCAACTTCATTTAATTTTAAGACAGGCAGAATTATGGTTTTGTAGGGCACATAACTTATTCTAATCGTTTGTTTTTGGATCGGAGTAGGAATAAATGATAAAAGTTTCCAAAATGAATATTCTACGGATCAGAACTTAGTCAAAATAAATCCACTAATATATGACGACATTTAACAGAGGGATTGAGAAAATCAATAAATGTAGTATAGGAGATCTGATGGAATCCGTTTTCTTTCGATAGATATGAAATGTGGATTTCAAAACTTACACAGAAAACGCCATCGGTGCGTTTATATAAGCCCGTGATTTCTCAAAGTGTGACTGGTGTCTCTCCAAGGGGTAGCGATTTACTTCAAGCGGGATCGTTGAGTCCTCAATTAAAGTAAAGAAGTAAAGCTATCCATGTACCAGGCCAAGAAGGCCCATACGATTGTGAGACGTTGAGGGTCCCACATTATCTAGACAATCGGCTCAAAGATGGAGGAAAGGTTGTCAGCCTTACGCGCCTGCCGCGCTTTACTCCCCAGGAAAATTATTTAATTAATCCCTTGTACTCAGTTCGGTTAGAGGCTGAGACGACTCCAGGGCCATAATGCGGCTGGAAGGGTTAGGTCATTAAAAAAAAAAACAATGATCTCATCGGGACCTGAAACCGTGACCTTCCGCCTTGTAGTATAGCCCCTCAACCAACTACGAAATCGCGTGCGAATTATTCAAAATACGGTATAGAATTAAGCACAGTCGTATAGTAATAATAACATAGCTGCATACAAGCAAAGTTCTACGAAGTCAGTAAGTGAAATTTAATGTAGGCGTTTTTGGAAAAGGTTTCTGCAGCCAGCGAAACACTAAGCGACTGCTTTCCTCATTATTTGGGCCCGGATTTCTGTGACATGTCATATTTTTTCCTAGGGTTTATTCCTATTTTTAAATGTAATTATGCATGTTTCCAGTCATTCTTATTGAAATCATGTCGTTTTTATTGTGCATATAAATGCATATTTTAGAGTTTTATTGGTTTTACAGCATATTTTGTCATAATTTTGAAATATGGTCATTTTTTATCAGTTTAGAAACAATTCTTTGATATAATGTAAAATTTCGGCTCATAATGTTTAGTATTACAAAATAAATTGTAATAATTTTAATAATAAATTTCTTTTAGGGCGTAATTCCCTTAAAAAACTAATCTGTCTGTAATGTCCTGGTGGCAGGGGGGCGTGGAGGTATCCCACCGCTGCCACCACTGTAATGCCCTAGCGG